AATCCACCCCAGTGTAGCTAAAGGGACGTCTATTATGCTGCAGTCTAGCAGTTGGGAGATCAGCCATGCGCTGAGCTGTTGCTGTAGCACGACGGTACCTACAAAATAGGCAATGTGCTGCAATTGAACGCACAGTTGGTCTTAGGTTCACGATCCAATAATGTTGTCGTAAATTATTTACAACAAGTTCGTTCGCGCCATGAAGGGCTTGTCTGTGATAATATTCCACAAGCAAGCGCGTCATTTTGTGTTGCCCATCCAATATGACAGGGCGGCGTGTGTCATTGCACACACCTACAACAGAATCAATGCGACCACCAACACGCAAAACACCATTTTCATCAAGGTAAGGTGTCAACTGTAATAAACGGCTATTTGATGGTAATTGTTTATTTAATTTTAAACAATAAATTTCGGTACTATAGGAATCAAGTTGACATTTTTTTATCAACAGGTATTCTGCCTCCTTCATTAGAAGAACGTCAAGTTTGCATACCTTACGTTGACATCTTCTAATGAACATTAAAACTCGAGCAGCGGCGCGCAACAGTGTGACCCAACTCGAAATATTATCTTCGCATGGCAAAGGTAATTTTGAGTTATCTGTGGTCACGTGATTTACAATACGCTCCTCACACATGGTGTTTTGTAATGACTTTTTAAACCTACGGTCTTTCGGCCACTGATCTTCAGGAAGGCGCAGGAAAGAAGGACCTTGAAACCAGTCACTAGTATACACCAGTGGGAGTGATTGTTCGCGCGTTGCTAAATCCGCTGTATTATTTGCGGTCGGCACGTACCGCCATTCAGTTGACTTTGTCAACTCATCAATTTCGCCAAGGCGGTGAGCCACATACGGCTTATAATTACGGGGATCGCTTCGAATCCACTGCAAAACAGTACTCGAATCCGTCCAGAAGTAACGTTTCCCGGGTTGAAAATCCTTTTGTTCGCGCTGTATGGTAGCAGCGAGCCGCGCCCCTAGAAGCGCACCCTGCAACTCCAACCTTGGAATGAAGACTGGTCGCAATGGACTAACCCGGGCTTTACTGGCTACAAAACAAACCAAAACGTGGCCGTCAGATCGCGTTAAACGCCAGTAAATAACAGTTGCATACGCTTTTGTTGAAGCGTCACAAAAAATGTGCATCTGTTTATCAACAATATTGTATACGTCTATATTAGTCGTATTTGGTATACATTGCTCGCTCGTATAGCAAGTTTGCCATGCGTGCGCGTTGCAATAGAAACGTGGAATACGAAGCGAGTGCAACTCCTGCAATTCTCGCAGCCATCTAACCCACGAAGCATATTCCTCAGTTTGGATGCGGCAATTCCATTCTATACCACTGCGATGGACATTCTGAAAATTAATTTTGCCCTTAATTAGAATCGGTGTAACAAATCCATGAACATCATAGACTGACATTAAAATGCTCAACATTTGTGCCTTTGTTGGCGGCTCCAAACCGTTTAAAATGTTTGGTGGTATTCGATGTAAACTTAATAATTTAAAACCGAAAGAGTCCTCACTAGGATACCATATCAAACCCAGAGTGTGCTCAGTAACGTTCGTAGCGCCGTGTTGCAACTCCACAGCCGTCGGCGCGAGCGCATCGGTGGGGATGGAGCATAGTACGTCCTTATTATTACTAGACCAGCGTGTAATCTCAAATCCACCATCTTTGTGGATATTTGTTATGTCGCGCACCAATTGAATCGCTGTACTTTCGCTACTACATGAATGTAAACAGTCATCCATGTAGTGATCATTGACAATTACGTCTACGGCTTTGGGATATAAGTCCTGGGGGCCAATCGCCTAACGGAAATGCTTTGGAAAACGCTAACGCTTACGATTTTATTTTGTTATTTCTAGCCGCCTGAGGTATTCAAATGCCTCGCGCTCTTTCTTTTTCTTTTGCATTGGTAATAACAATATTAAAAAAAATGAGCTTGAGGTATTCGAAAACCTCAGGCGGCTAGAAATAACAATATAAAATCGTAAGCGTTAGCGTTTCCCAAAGCATTTCCGTTAGGCGATTGGCCCCCTGGAATTTCATAGCATTTTTATTTTTAATGTATTGTGCAATGAAAGGCGAGCAGGTGGCACCAAAAAGTAAACTTTGCATTACACAATTTTTTAAAGGCGCGCCAGCGCTCTCTTGCCATAGGAAACGAAAAACATTTTGATCCTCTGGTCGGATTTTAATTTGAACAAAGAAATCTTTTATATCGCCAGTTAAAGCAACTTTATGTTCACGGAAACGTAACATAATTCCTAATAAAGAATTATATAAATCGGGTCCCGTTAATAAAAAATCATTAAGGCATACACCCTTCACTTTTCCTGCACAGTCAAACACTAATCTTAGTTTATTAGGTTTGTTGGGATTTTGAACTCCGAAATGAGATAAATACCATATGTAACTAGACGCTGAGAGTTCAGATTCATGCAGTTCTCGAGCGTAGCCGTTATCGAATAACCTGTTCATCTCCTGCCGATACCTCTCAGCATAAATTTCATCAGACTGAAATTTTTTAAGTAATCCCTGTAACCTACACCGTGCATATTCAAAGGTTTGAGGGAACGAAAGTTGGTCTTTAACGAAAGGCAAACCTACTTCCCATTGCTTACCTAAATTACGTGCGGTTGCATCGAGAATGTTTACCGCTCTCAAATGTGCCGTATTTTCACGACGTAAGGGTGAAACTCCAATGGAGTCTAGTTCAAATGAGTGTTTAACTAAAGTATTTAATTCGTTCATATCGTGCTCCTCAGAGTGAGTGAGATGGAGAGTGTGCCCGATCATGGGAGTATGACTGAGACCGTAGCAACCATGAATAGACCAGCCTAAACGACATCTCGTAGCATAAGGTTCAAATTTATTGCCATTCAATATTTCTAATGGAGCTAAAAGAAAATAATTATCCTCTCCTATCAATAGGCGAGGCACCACACATTCGTTACACACAATATCTTTTACTTTTAACAAATGTTTGCATTTCAATTGTTTTATTAATGACAAATCTTGTTTAGGTACATTCATATTATTAACCTGGCGAAATGTAATATCATAACATTTATTTTCCAAGAAACTAGATATTTTTGCATTAACTTTAGGAACATCAGATTGAAATACCTCAATGCCGAATGCATCTATAAATTTTATTGAATTAGATTCAGATGAAAATAGACCTAATTCGCTTACCAAGTCCTTATCGATTAGGGAAACTGACGCCCCGTCATCCAATAACGCATGCACACTCACTGTGCCCTTAGGGCCACTAAGATTGACCTTTACCACTTTCAACAACACATCACTGACTTGACGTAAGGAACAAACACTACGAGTGCTGGGGCCGCTTGGCGGCGGCGGCGACGGCGGCGCTGTAACGTGCGCCACAGTCTCGTCTCGCTTCAATGATGACTCATGCTCCGCCAGCTGCAAGCCTTCCTCTGCGCTCCTGACTTCGTTGTTTGAATAAGTGCGTGCCGTCAAAACCGGTTTCTTATAATGCAATAAGTGATGATGTGCGAGCCCGCAGTTATCAATATTGCATAGTGGAGCGGGACACGAATTACGCTCGTGCCTTGCTAATAGACAGCAATAACAGATTTTTTTTGATTTAACAAATCTCCATCTATCCTTTCGCATAGCTCGTTTGAACGGTCGACATTCAGTTAACAAGTGCACTGTTTTTTTACAAAAACAACAAACTTTCTCAGCTTCAGTCGCAGTAGTAGTTAGCAAAGGTCGATTATACGTATTGTGACGAGGTTTTTCATCTGGTTTTCGACCGGGTGGAAATATATCGGGCTTCCTGTGTTCTCGTAATTGTGTGACGCCAACGACTGATAGTATCTTAGCTTCTCGCTTAAGGAATGCAGCCAAAAGTTGAAGTTTTGTTATGTTGCTGTCTAGCTTTTCATATGCGAAGTCTGTCCACTTGCTCAACAATACACTAGGCAGTTTGGAAACGATAGCTGCTAATAACTCAAGACTTCGTAAATAATCGTGTTGATTAAGTGAATTCAGTGTTGCAACACAATTATTAACTTTCATGGAAAAATTAATTAAATCATTATGATAGTTGTTATTGAGTGGGGACAACTTTCTCATCTGTGAGGTCAACTGTTGAATTATGAAGTCAGAGTTGCCGAATCTGAGTTCCAAAGCCTCCAAAACCACCTCTGGTGCCGTGTTGCCGATCAGTAAGTCGGTTACAGCTTCCTTAGCTTCACTTTTGAGTGCACGTCGCAATCTCCACAAATTCTCTGAGTCACTGAATTGACAAATATGAGTAGACTCGTAGTAAGCACTCTTAAAGTGTAACCACTCAAAGCAGTCGCCGTTGAACGGAGGTAATTCTCTTGGCGTTGACAAGCGAGTGAGCAGGCGTTCTTCATTCTGAGCCGGTGATGAAACCATGATGTCTTTTAGCGTATGAGCGAGCTGGAGAATGCTATCAGCTGGTATGTGCGGGGTGGGTGCGCGGCCAGGTTCCGTAACAACAGGTGCCGGCGCTTCCGCCTCCGTAGCCATTGCTGCAGCTGGTAGGGACGACTCCAACCACTCCTCAACGTTATATTGCTTCTGTCCATGGCTCACAGACTTGCTTTTGCAAGAACGCTTGTCCTCTTCAAGCATGGTCACATTCCAACTTCTTGTCGATGAGCTCTTTTTCTATCCTCGCCTTCGCTTCTGCAGCAGCAAATTCGAGTTGTTTGCGCTTTAGACTTGACGATGACGATTGTGTATACATAGCGATGGACTCCGTCTTAACTGTACGTTGCACATGTTTCTGCATCTGTTGCGCAATACCACTCGTGAGCACGTGTTCCGACGCACAATCCAATCTATCGATCAGTTTTTCCCGACATTTCTTGGTGAAAAGTTTACTAGCAGGTGGTGTATGATGCATAGTTCTTGATGGTTGAGATTTGGCTCGATTGACCAGACTTATTATAAGGGATAGAAAAAGAAAACTACAAAGATGCCGGAAAAAAGATGGCGCGTTCGAAGAGATACTGGTTGAGCTCACTTGTAATGGCCGAAAATGCAACAGAGGCATAGTGGGGCGTTAGGCCCGATATTAGCACCAATCACGCGGTAGCTCCTCGGCAGCGCATTACTTTATTTGTCAATGAACAAGTACATCGGTTTTCGATTACGTTTAGTAGATGAGCGTTAAAATTAAAGTAAGGTTTTCTTTTACAATTTTTTGTGTTATAAAATATTAAATACTATAAAATAATGGTGCGTCGCCTACAACATCCATGACTGGAGTACAAATGCTCGTATTCATCACACAAACATCTGCCCCCACCGGGATTCGAACCTGGGACCTCTCGAGTCGGCGACACCATGAAACCCGGCGTACAAACCACTCGACCACGGAGGTCGTCCGTCTAATTGTATACGTCTGAGGTATACGTACTTGAAAACAGATAACAACCAAGGAGGTGACAGCCATCGAATAAGCGTTGAAGGAGAGCCAATCGCCGAGCGCTCGGCCACAGCCTGTCGTGTACGCATTGGCCTGGGTGCAATAGAACGGCGACACGGTGCCGTAGTCTATGTGACAGCAGCTCACCGGCACCTCGCCCACGCGCCAATCGTGCCTGCCAGACACACCGCAGCACTCGAACTGATAGCAAAAAATTCAACATGTATCACAGCCTTGCTCCACTCAACACAAACGCACCCCATGGGATTGGGTTAGGTTAGGTTAGATTACTCAACTTCCACAAGCGGCGACTCATATCTGGCCCGCGCAGTTACAACTGGTTAGACTAGTTAGACCTGGTAGGTACGGGAGCTGGTCGGCTGGCTAGCCGCTCGGACTGCGGTCCGTGAGACTAGTCAGGTGACCCTGTGAACGGAGAAGCCCAGGATCGGCTAAAGCGGGTGCGGACCGGGCTGCTGGTCGGAGGCGGGATGGTTTGACGTATGCCACGCTTGCGTGAGTGCACGTCAAAGTATACCCGCACCGACTAGCGGCCCTCGGGCTGCTCGCCGCTTGCCGAATGCACCACGCAATTACCTGCGTCCGAGGGTTTGTTAACAGCAAACCATTGTCATTATCGTGGATATAATGCATTTTTCTCCCCGTCATCGAAATAAAAAAAAAGGTAACTCAACTCCAAAATTCCTTCTACTAACTCCAAAACAGTTTTAATAACTAAATATTTCTATATGCATGTAAATTAATTTCTGTAATCGTTTTCGAGTTGAACTGGAACAATATGTGGGAAGGTAGTAAAGTTTTGAAAACAATGGCTTTGGTGTCAAGAGGCATACCACCACCACGGGGTAGGAGTAACAGGGAGAGTAACAATATACCTTTTGCAAGCGTCTAAGATAGGCGGCGGCCTCTTACCATCTGAACCTATATGCTTAATTGCTATAAGTTTAACATAAAAAACGCCTTGAAAATCATTAATTCTCAGAAATAATTTAAAATCTCGATTGCATTACTTTTGCCCTGAATTCGTTGAACGTCTTCAATGCTGGAGCTCTACTCTCTTTCTCCGAAACGAAATTTCGGCAACGAACGAACTTTAAACGAAATTTTGCCAGTGACTCTACTCTATTTCATCTTCGAACACGCATATAAAGTTTGGAATCACAGACAATTATCGTGAACGAATGGAATGAGTTATATTTGTGAGTTCTTTTTGTCTACACTTTTTAGATAACGTTTTTTACTTAAAAACAATATTACTTTATGACAACATTTTTGATTACCTACATTAAAACAACCTCTTTTGACAGTGTTAGCCGACTAATTTGTAGAGTTGATGCAATCGCATGTATGTCAACCTAAATTTGTCGTGTAACACTTTGAAGTATTGGCAATACATTAATAAACAAAACTTCGTTTTATTTATAAATTTTTCATACTAAAAAATGTTCCTCACGCTAGGCAGCCTTAATTAAAAATACTGTAGTAGTAATTTTAGGTTTAATTTAAAGAAAAATCCCAAAACGAAAATGAAAAGTTAACACTTTTAATTTCGTCAATTTGAGGTTAAAATTTCGAACAATTGTCTGTCAAATTTAACTTTTAGTTCAAAAGTTTTGTGAATTAGAGTAGGCTTGGAGAATTTAAATGTGTAACTATTTTCGGACGACCGAATTTTCGAAATGAAATAGAAACAGAGTAAGGAACGTGCGAAATTTCGATCGAAATTTCATTTTTCGTTGAGGTAGAGTAGGCCTCCTGCGTTTCCACTTATTGTTCAGAACAGTTTTCAACGAGCAAACATTTGTTTGCTCGGTTAATAGAATGCTCAAAACAATGTTGCATTGTTTTAATTGATTACTGAAAAAGAGAGCATTCGTTCCCTGAGTGCAGTCAAACATCATTGTACGAACTTGTTCGCTCGCTCTTATGTTTCCAATTATCGAGCGAACAAATGTTTGCTCTTTCAGAACTGTCCTGAATCGTAAAATAATCGCATCGCCTCAGAGCAAGCTCGTGTTTCTTCGTAAGGCGATTACGCTTAGATTCCGATTAGTGTGCGTTACATTAGGGTGTTTCATTTCATACAATGAGTACTGAACGGTTCGAGTCGATAGCGTAACAATCCCTGTTCGAGTTGAAATGTCTGCTGCGAATTTAAGTCACAAATGGTGACTCTGGTACATACAAATGCTCATATACATTATTTTCCACCACCAGAATTTGAACTCAGGAGCTCGGAGTAGACGTTAGGCAACAACTTGAAAACCGGTTTACGACCACTTTACTCTACCATGGAAGTTGTCAGCACATTCCGACAGGGTTGGATATAGAGTGCGAACAATACTGCGATAATTCCCAAATTCTTAAGTTGAAACGGTTTTGTTTAGATGGAAAAAGAAATCTTACTTCCGTCTGCAACCGATCCCAAGCAGCATTGACCTCAATCCTTTCTCCATAGAGCAGCCTGGTCTGAGTCATAGGGGTCCTTATCAAAGTGGCGACATTGTTCCACAACCCGTAACTGACTGTGACTAGCGCCACTTCAAATATTAACACCACCGCAGACACCACTACGTACTGCAAAGAAAAATAATAACAAATTTTAGTGAATACTTCTTCATCTGCTACAATTAGATTAATTGGATTTCCATACGAACTTTCAACCCTTAAATAAATCCTTCAATTTCTATTTCATAGCATAAAGTAGCTTACCTATGTATCTATTTGAGCAACAAATTTAATTTCATACTTATAATATTGATATCAAAGTAAGAACTTTCAAAGAGGGAAATTCTTAACCAAGTAAGAGAAAACGTCTTCGTTGCAGTAACCATCTGCTTGTTTTTTTAAGAATTTAGTGTCAAGTTATTACAACTGAGCAGCAAGTAATTTCTTGTTTATAAATTTGATTGAAGTAACATCTGAACTGAGTAAGCTAAAAAACATCTCGTCATTGTTTATTAACTCCCTTAATCACCTTAAGCTAAAATGAATTAATTAAAGTCCATGATTTCTGAGTTATCTACCCTTAGACCTAGCTGTGTGAGGTCCTTTATAAAGGTCCCAGTTCAGTAACTTTTATGTTTCGTAGTTTCAGAGGTTTAGGCGAGAAACTGTAACAGACAAATGGTGAAAATTACTTCCGCTTTTATTATATCAGTATGATTATTTTGTTGTCCGTTTCTCTGACGGTATATCTGCCCGTCCGCCTGTCAAACCAAATCCGTTATCTCGAGAACGAGTGGTTATCGAGTTGAGATTTTAACCATATACTCAGATCTACAGTCCCCTCAATCTATGAAAAAAAACATATAAATTAATGTAAAAAAATCGACACGGCGGCGTTGCGTGCGTACCTATGAATTTATATGGAATGTTCGAAATGCATGTCCCACTGTCACTTGTCCGGGTTTTTTACTTGAATCACAAAATTATAATTATATTTTTAGTTTTTCAAAAGATCAAGAAACGAGACAAAATGGATCAAAAGGGTGCATGTGAAGCGGCAAGTCACCAAAATCTCTGTTCTGTTAGCCTTCACTTCCAAACAGAAGATTTATATTTAATTCCCAACAAATAATTCATGGTTATTCTATTTAAAATGGGATACCCCCTCTCTCATTATCTCTCACTCGGTTGCACGTTATGCTGTTCTCTGCGTTTGTGGTCATAACAAGTATAAACGATAATTCGATTTCATCATTGCTTCTTAAGACAAGTGACTGGAAAGAACGAGGGGCTCCTCGAATTTAATAGGCATACCTAATTATAGCGATTTGCGTTTTTTTACTGATTTGCTTTATGAAGCCAAAATAATAATAAAAAACAATATAAGCCCACGTAACCCGTTCCCGTAAAATAACACTATTTGGCGGTATTGAGTTACTTTTCGTGAGCATGGTTCCCGGGCTCCAATTGGTAGAGAATACGGTTCAAGCCGGCAAGATGAAGATGACTGGGACGAAACACGTTTCGAAAGGTTCGGTAAAGTCACAAACTTTACCCCACTAACTTTACCTTTAATTAAGAAGGAGGAAAGTTGTGCCTTGTATACATGGGTATTTACCTAGGGCCAAGAGCCTGTGAGGGGCGGCAGAAGATATACAAAAGTATTCGTTACTAATTGTATTAATAAATAAATAAATATTTCCAACACTCACGCCAAATTAGCCTAGCCCCAAAGTAGGTACTGTAGTTGTGTTATGGGATACTAGGTAATACGTATACTGATACATATATGCATAAGTATATTTATATAGAAATACATATTAAACATCATTTATTACTAAATGAAGGAAAAACGAAATGTATGAAATTTGTATTACCTAATGTAAATAAAAAATCATTACTCTGACGATGCAGACCTGAAAAGGCTGCGAAACGTCAATAAATAAATAAAGTTTCGTGCATTAACCCGTAAAAACTAGTTTTATTTAATGAGTGATGTGCGTGAAAACCTAAGAAACAAATAATGTAAAACAGTTAAAAACCAGTGTGAATGTAAAGGATAGGAATATGGGCCTTGTAGACACCACAGTATTCTAAGGGATTACTTTAGATTCTAAGCTTCAATGGGGCCCACATATTGATAAATTGTCAAATAGACTTAGCTCTGCAGCATATGCCGTAATGAAGATACGCCAGTTAACGGATCTAGATACGGCCAGATTAGTATAATTTAGTTATTTCCATAGTGTAATGTCGTACGGAATTTTATTGTGGGGAAACGCCGCCGACATTCAAACTATTTTGGTGCTGCAGAAGAGAGCTATTCGATCAATTTATAATCTTAAAGTTAAGGATTCCTTAAGAGATAGGTTTAAAGAATTTGGTATAATGACGGTCGCATCACAATACATTTACGAAAATTTAATTCTTGTAAGAAAAAATATTAATTTGTTTCTTAAAAACAGTGATGTTCACACACTTAATACAAGAAACAAAAATAAACTAACTTTACCTGCTACTAGGCTTCACAAAATCAATAATTCATTTAAAGGTCTTTGTGTTCGCTTATACAATAAAGTTCCAAGCAATATCCAAGAGTTAAGCATAAATAAATTCAAAGATAGTATAAAAAAAACACTTATTAAAAAAGCTTATTACAAAGTGTCTGATTATATTACAGACAAAAATACTTGGGTTTGAACTGTTCCAATCATTCCAACAGGTTTTCTATATTAAATAAATCATGATTGTATTGACGTTGTAACAACATAATGATTTGTAAATGTTGTTACATTATACTTTTAATGTTGTGGAGTTTTTTTCGCTCGTTTTTCTCCGCAGCTAAAAAATATGTCCAATAACGAGTGGTAGGGAAAAAAAATGTTTGGAAGATTCAAAAGTGTTGTACTATACATCTAATTTGAATAAAGATATATTGATTTCTGATTTCATCCATAACTGGCTGGAGTACAAATGCTCGTATTTATCACACAAACATCTGCCACCACCGGGATTCGAGAACCCGGGACCACTCGAGTTGGCGTCACCTTGAAACACGGCGTATAAACCACTTGGCGACGGAGATATTAATCTAAGTGTTGAATAACGAGTAGGTAAACGTATCTACCTAATAAATAAACTAACATAACGCCTACTCAATAATATTACTAGCATCGATCTTTGCTAGCCAAAGTGTGTTTGGTTATCTAATAGAAAATCTCACTTACCCCTGCCACATAGTGGAAATCTTGAGATATGGCTGCATAAAATCCGAGTGCTGAAGATAATATTATTATTGTACCAGTAGCTATAGCGAAAGATGGCACATTGTGGAACTTTTGTGTAATAAACAGATCATATTGCTTAAATTTTACTAGTACTGTTACTCCACAGAGAAGTAAAGTGATTCCGGTTAACTGAAAATAAAAATACTGCTATATAATTTCAATTACCTACCTAAAAAGTGTGTAGGTAAGTACTTAATTCTTCAGAAATCGACTGCAGACATAGAGCAACACGGCCGACACGGCAAGGGTTACCATCCGTCCGGATTAGTCCGGACATGTCCGGACTTTGTCCGGATCTGTAAATTTTCCGGATTTTTTAAATTACATTGAATATGAATATAAAAGTACATATTGATTTATATACCATACCATTGTAACTAAGTGAGTAATGGTATTTTGTGACTAAAAATCCGAACTTTTTTCGAAATGTCAGGATTTTTGTCAGGACTTTTGAAATTTCTAAATGGTAACCCTAGACACGGCCACGAATGGAGTAGGCATAACCAGCTTTCCCCTCTGCCGAATTGGGCATACAAATTGGACACAGAAATGATACATGTGTGTAGTTTTGTTTTTTACGCATGTACGTTAAACTACATTTGTGTGCATAATCACCGCGCAAAAAATGGCAGAATGATTAAAATAGTATAAAGTCTCTATGGCTACTCCCTTCCGTGTTTCTCTATGACTGCAGCATGTTGTTCTGTAAAATACAATCTCACTTACGAACTCATTAATTCGGGTTTTTTAAAATTGTCAAATATCTATTACTGACTGCTTCTATAGTCATTGCGACATTTTGCCGTGTAATGGCGTAATGCATATCTAACTAATGTCTAAAATGGTAATTATCTAATTCAGATTATTATCGGATGTGAGATTTTTTTACAGAATCGCACTACAGTTCGTAAATGTTTATGTATAGGTAAGTAGTTAAAGTATCTATCAATTTAAATATGCCATTACTGAAAATATAACTTACCAAATATAAACAGTTTACCGCCCCTAAACAATATTTCACGGATTTAAAAAACTTAGGAACCTTAATTTTTTTTATATTCATCTTCAACAGCAATGTTGAACCCACTAAAATACAGAGCTAACTAAAATTGAGATGAGTTTATCATTATCAATCACGAAATAACCAATATCTTTCCTTTATCTTGACGTGAAGATCTAATCAGCAAGAATATTCGTTGGCCAAAATAAAAACAGCGCTTTAAGATAACTTTGAAAATTTTGATACAATATTAATGCTGTCTCCAAAACCGATATCGTGATATATAAATGAGAGGAATTGAGGAAGTACTTTTGTGGTACTTTTACATCAATTTTAAGATTTTACTCTACCATTGTTCAATAAAAACTCCATATACATTTCTTTCAATATCAAATGGATGATAGAGCATCCTTTTTTTTATTTAGTAGGCAAAAACTCTATTTGCAGGCGTTGGCGCCCTTAAGGGGCACACCAACGAATGGACCTCGCACCTAGGCTCTCGCAAGTCTCACGGGTGCGACACGGAAAAGCCGTTAAACAGTCCGCGCTGCTTACGAGCGCTTGCGGCATACTATCCGCTAAAACACCTTGCGAATACCCTCTACGCTGTTAAGTGCGGAACCGCGAGATTCCCGTTGAGAGACTTCACCGCTGCTCCGCACCCAACAGCCTCCCGGCCTAGCCGGGGCTCCACGGCAGGGATCACCCGGGGTATCGCGGGTGATCCCGCAGACGTGCGCAGGACTGCCCGCGCTGGGATGATAGAGCGTCCTACTAATATTATGAATGTGAAAGTTTGTGTTTTTGTTTGTTACTCAATCACGCAAAAACGGCTGAACGGATTTGCATGAAATTTGACTAAAGTCAAACCTGGACTAAAACTGATGCTGTCTGTCATTTTTGTTTGCTATAAAGGAGACACAGACAACAAAGGTTCAAAACAACGCTAACTTTGGCGATTATCACACGGCACCGCGCACCGCCGCGGAGGGCGGTGGCGGTAACGCGGATTTCGCAGCGGTGCACCGCGGGGTAAGGCGGTTTACGCGCCTGTACGCGCGGATGGATTTAACGCGGTTTTGACCAGTTTGATTGCAGACGCTGGCAAGAATGGACGCTGAAGTGGTGGCAGCAATCTGGCTTTTATGGCGCAGAAAGAAAAAAATAAGAAGATACTGGGTTCATCCATTTTTACGAAGCAGAACTCTAAATGGGTCATTCATGTTATTCTATAAAAGTTTGAGAAAATACGAAGATAAATTTTTTAATTATACGCGAATGTCCACTTCTTCATTTGATTATTTGTTAGCAAAAATAAGGAAAGCAATTTCTGGAGTAAATACAAACATGCGTCCTTGTATTTCGCCGGAAGAAAAGCTTCTTGTGACCTTGAGGTAAGTGAAGAAGAAAATACACATTTTTCCATTTTATATTTTTATTACTTTAAATAATCAGTCTGTCAATTATTCTTGTTATTAAATCTACCTCAGTCTTTTTTGAAGATTTTTTAGATTTTTGTACCTACATCTAATTATAATTAGTAATTTTAATTTCTTATTTAGTAATCAAATCACAGTTATTTTTTCTTTATCACAGGATCAACCACGTATTTATGTGTCTACCTTAAACTAATTAACATAATCACAGCTTTCTATCTTCCGCACAATGAGCATAATTTCTTATTTAGTAATCAAATTACAGTTATTTTTTCTTTATCACAGGATCAATCACGTATTTATGTATCTACCTTAAACTAATTAAAATAATCACAGCTTTCTATCTTCCGCACAATGAGCATAATTTCTTATTTAGTAATCAAATCACAGTAATTTTTTCTTTATCACAGGATCAATCACGTTCATATTTATGTATCTACCTTAAACTAATTAACATAATCACAGCTTTCTATCTTCCGTGCAATGAGCACACTATGGTTTTAAAACAGTGATAAAATCTCCGATTCATCAGTAATGTTTGAATTAACTGTGGTGGGTGTTGCTGGTATTGCTTCTATAATATTATCTGCAATTCCGGCAGCAGAGGTCCCTTGCTCGTTTTGCTGGTGCGCATATGATGAAGTATTCGTATAATAACCCTGATTTTGATTATTAGTATAAGACATTGTAGCGTCGCCTGACTCTTTATAATTGTACATTTCATCCTGAGCTTGTGATATGTATCTAATTATATTTATTTTCACGACAGATTTTAATCGATCGGGTACTTTCTTGAAATCAGGCACCAAAGAGAGCATAAACTGTCGGTCAGGATCTTCTTCGTTTTCTTTTTTGTTTATTGAAGTTTTCAGGGTATCGATTAACTCTCGCGTCATTTCTTCAGCAGGATCAGATTTCTTTCTTTTAGTACCTAAGGCTCTGTCTTCATATGGTCCTCCAACTGATTCATTACCTTCCCCGACTGATTCATCGTCTCCTGCAGACAAACTGTTCTGAGTTTTATTTTTTCCAGCGTAAGGTTTTAAAAATAACAATTGATTATAAAATCTATACTGATTATTTTTCTTAGCTCCTGCTCCGCTCTTTATATTTTTTTGTCTTCGACACTCCTTCATGAAGGCGTCTCGAAGGTTTTTCCACTTTATTTGTAGCGAGCGCCCTGTAATAAAAAAATATATTGTTTCAGATACCTGGCCACGGGGTGTTCCTTTACCGATCTGCATTACAGTTATCGACTTGGTATATCAACCATACGAAATATTGTAGAAAAAGTGTGTGATGCATTATGGGATGTAATGAAAATGGAGTGTTTTCCCGAACCTACAACTGAAATGTGGTTAAATGTAGCTGAAGGATTTAAGTCAAGAGCCAATTTTCCTCATGTTTTAGGTGCCTTAGACGGTAAACATGTGCGTGTTATCAAACCATCTCTAACTGGATCGCTGTACTACAATTATAAGCATTATTTTTCCATCTTACTGCTGGCTATTTGTGATTCTAATTACAAATTTATATACGTTGACATAGGTGCTTATGGGAAATGCAGTGATTCTACAGTTTTTCGTGATTCCATTTTTTACCAAAAACTTCAAGATGGAACTCTTAATATACCAAACTTCTCTGCAATTACTGGTATCACCAATTCCGTACCATATTTTTTTATCGGAGATGAAGCTTTCAATATCTCAAACAATGTTCTACGACCCTATGCAGGACATCACTTAAATTACACTAAAAGAGTTTTTAATTATCGCTTGAGCAGGGCACGTAGATATATTGAGTGTGCATTCGGTATTTTAACACATAAATGGCGTATATTTCAACGCCCTTTGAACGTAAACAGAATTTTATCTATAAAAATTATTAAAGCATGTTGTATACTTCATAATTTTGTTAGGGAAAGACATGGCGTTGATTTTAAGGATATTTTATATACAAACAATGAGACGGAGGGAATAGTTAATATACCGATAGACAATAATTGCAGAGGAAGCACAAGTGCTGCAGCGATCCGTAATAATTTAGCTGATTATTTTGTAAATGAGAACCCGCTACCATGGCAAAGTCAATATGCTTAAATTTAAAATAAATATTTTTTTAAAACTTACCGAGTTCTTTCTTTTCTTTGTCAGAAGTTTGTCCTGGCTCCAAATATAAGGTAACAATTTCTTCCCATTGTTTCAGTTTTAGGAGTCTATCACTATATTGTGTGCTTTTCATGTCCCAGATAGCAGAGCGACTTTGAATCTCTGAAATAAACTTTTCGACATCGAAATCCATTTTTAAATTGCGACACGTCTTGCTTCCACGATGTTCCGCGCGGTTATGCGGTGCCACGTGTGTGAGGTGCCGCCCCTCCGCGCTGCCGTCCGCGCGGAGAGGCGGTGGCGGCGAGAGCACCGCTCGACCGCGCGGTCGGGCGGTGAACATGTGTTTAGTATCAACGGATTTAGTAGAGGCTTATGCGACATGAGATCCGCTTCACCGCTTGCCGCGGCGGTGCGCGGTGCCGTGTGATAATCGCCTTTAGTCCGTGTTTTGGAATAAGGCAGATATAAACTATATCCGCATTGCCTTGATTGAGACATAAGGCACTTTTTATCCCGATTTTTTTTTGGGTTCCTCAGATGAATGAAATTCTAAGATGATTTATTCGTTAGCCTTATCAAAGGCTAACTCATAGATGAATGATTGGTCTCGCTTCACTCGACGAAGCGAGACCAATCATTTATCTATGGGCTAACTAATAAATCATGCTTGGCTGGACTAGGAGAGAAAGAAAATAAAATGTGCTAGCTGCTAAATTCATACCTAGTAAAATCTGTCAATGTCCCTATAGACAGCTGGTCGAGTCAAAGATAAAAGAGCTTAAGTCACCCTCGGCTCGCGCTAAGTTTAGGTCACAACATTAACTTCACCTAACACAAGGGCGTCCCCAAGGGGGGCCAAAGACACAAAAATGCAGTCAAATGTAAAACAACCAGTTTAACAGTCCTCAATCCACTCTTTTGACTAGCTTGCCTGACTAAAAATTTATGCATGCGTTATAAAATAAGAATCTTTCTTCACATTCTCATTTTTATTCTAATTGATCTTATATTACTTTCGATCCTATCTCATAATATTCATAGCTTCCTCCTCTCCTTAATCCTGCTTTCTCTCAATCCTTCTCTTTCAACCTTGCCTCACAATATATTTGATCTACACACCCTTTTCTCGCTGTCTTTCTTTTGATGCTTTATTCTTTCACCTGGCAGTATACTAACGAGTAGCAACCTTGGGCGCCTTTGGGCTACCACACTACCACCGTTTGTCTTACCAACTCTTGTATGACTCATTAAATAAAAGTACCGAAACACACACAACCAAATTGAAAAACAGAATATACAAAAAAGCTGAGCTGATTTCAGCTCTGTATGTCACCACTGAGTACTGTACGCACTGAGGTATTTTGGACGAGAAGACATCGCGAAGTTTCCGAAGCTTCCCAGCCGCCGAATCCAACGAGGTAAAGAGTTAACCTCTTTCTTTAAATTGGACCTACCCGAGCGGACTAGTTGTCCTAGATAAATAGATAAAGTTCTCAACATTACCGGGTGGAGCGGACGACGAGCGTTAGACATGATATTCGTCTTACTCATTTTCATTTGAGGTGGGCCTGTTGAGA